ATAGTAAAAAAATTATTTTGCTTTTACTTTCACTGTTTAGTATTAATTAATTTTCATCTAACCAAGCCAAGTTAGGGCTATGTGGGCAATCATTCAAAAAAAAAAAATCATCCACTTCTAACAATCGTATGTCAACAAATATTTTTTTTCTTCAATTTAGTAAGAGAAGTATTTTACAACAGAAAATCTCTTACCATCTATAATTTAACAATTAAAGAGAATATGTACATTTATTGGTCCATATTAGTGGTGATGATGAAGTATATCTTCACTGGTGATGATATAAGTTGTCAGCGATTTTTTTATTTTTATTTTTTCTTTCCTTTTTTCACTTCACCTCTTAATAAAATCATTCACATGACTAATCATTCCATAAAAAAATCATTCACTCATGGGTAAATTACATGGAGGTTCGTGTAAGATAGTTTTATAAATTAGATGTTAGTGACCAAACGTAAACAAAATTGTTAAAAAGTGATCTTAAAATCAAGAAAAGATGAATAGTGATCGATTTTAAAACTTAATTGTTAATAAGTGACCATTTGAGGGCAATTTGGTCAAAAAAATACTTACTTGTTTATAAAATATTCTAAAAATAAGTTTTAGATGACAAAATTGTTTATTCATTATCCTCTCTTTCTTGTTCTATTTTTTCCTTTTTAGTTTGCAACTTACCAATTAAAAAATTATAATTTCTTTAATAACCTTATATCTTAAACTTAGAATTTCTTTATTAACCTAACCTTTTTTATTATTATTTTTTATTTTTTACGGCTCTCCATAGCTATAATTTATAACTTAGAATTGAAAAACATGCTAAGCACAAAATTAAGAATATTATATCCATAGTTATAATTTATATGGATTTACATACTTTCAAATTTAATCGAACTATATATATATATATATCTTGTTTACAGAATAAAGATTAAAAACCACAACACCATTCAAATACGCCTCTATTCCCTTCTCTCTTCGTCTTCATCTTATTCTCTGATCGAACAACAAAAGTGTTTAATGTTGTGAATAAATTTTTTCAATTTATATACATATATATTACAATAAAGATATTTATATAATAAACCATCAAATGGTCACTTGTTAGCAATTAAGTTTCAAAATTGGTCACTGTTTATCTTTTCTTAACTTTAAGGTTACTTTACAACAATTTTATTTAAGTTTAGTCACCAAATTCTAATTTTTTCTTTTATTTTTAAGAAAAATTTGAATAATTTCTCAAATTATAGGGAGTTCTTTGTAATTATAACTGATCATAAAAATTTCGGTGTAATTTTCCCTTCACATGTATGAAAATTCTAGTATCAAACATTTTTTTTATTTTTTCCTTCGTATCCAACCAAACGCACCTTGGTCTACCTCCATGTGAGAGAATCCTAATTTTCCATGGTTAGAGTGACCAATTCTGAAAAAAAATATTCTAAACTTATCTCAAGTATAGAAATAATGAATATAGCAAATTTAGGGTTAATTACGATAGGTTGAGGTTTGGGGATTGACAGGCATATATAAGACCATTTTTGAGACAATGAGACCTTGTCAGTTTTGTAATCCAAACAGGGCTCAATTGATTTCAAAAAGATGATATTGTCTCAGAATATTTAAATCACTTTTATCCTTAAATATCAGGCAAAACAAAATGTCTAATATACCCCCTCAATTAATGGCCGCCTACCCCACCTACCCCTTTATTTGACCTTTGTCTGTCTCACTAACTTTTCCATTTCTCTATCTCAATCTTAACTTTTTATCTGCTGCAAAAATGGAACCTTTATTTCTACAAACATGAACCATCATTCGAAGCCCTAGTATAAATTGTGCATATTTTCCTCTTCCTCTCTCTAGCAAATTTCTAGAACGTTAAAGTTGGTTGCTTGGTGTGATCAACCATTCGGAATCTTGGTGGTTTGTGTTGTGTTGTTCATTTTTCCGTTCTTCACGTTCTCGGTAAGTGATCTAATCTTTACTCTGCTGCATATATGATGACTTAGTGCTTCTTTGTTATATAACTTCAAATATTGAGGGTTTTCTGAACTTTTTTTTTTTTTTAAAAAAAAAAAAAAAAAATTGTTATTTCATGAACGCTGAAGTTGGTTTGGTTAGTGTAATCAACCGTTCGGATTCTTGGGGGGTTTGTGTTGTGATTGAGGGTTTTTTGATGGGGTTTTTATAAATTTATTGTTATTTCATGAAACAATAAATTGATAATATTTATTCCTAAAATGCCTTTATCAACTTCCTTCCCTTCTCTACTAACCCCCTCCTCTTTCTAACCACCACAACCGTCTCACAAATAAATCGAGAGGGTTCCTGAAAATTGAACTATTCCTAAATATTGGATACTGATTTGTGCATTTGTGGATGGTGGCTCACACACAGCTCATTCTGAAGAAAGCATTGTACGTGTTGACAAATTCAAGGTATTGTTTGAATGTCTATAAACTCTTTTCTATATCTAAATTGACAAAATCACTTTTATAAATAATAATAATAATAATTTTGCTAAAATTCGATTTGTATTTAAATAATCGACGTCAGTTAATTTTCAGATTAAAATATTTAACTGATCAATTCATCATTACTTGGTAAAATAAATGGTAAAAGTTGTCAAGTGAAAATATACCAATTCAAGTATCTGATACTACTAATTATTCATCAATCAGTACTACCAATCCTTATGACCTTCCATGTTGATGAGAGTGGTGGAGGTGAGAGAGAGATGGGTTTGTAGGGAAGGCAAGGAATTTGGGAAGTATATTTTAAAAATAAATCTCAAATCATCCCTTTTCGGCATTTAAGTTTTAAAACAGGTCACTATTCATCTTTTCTTTATTTATGATCACTATAGAACAATTTTGTTTATGATCGGTCACTAAAACCTAATTTTCCTTATTTGGTTTCGTAAGATAAGTCTCTTTTCCATTTCTTCAGCAGAAATCTATTTCTATATCTATTTAAATATTGTTTCTATATATATATATATATATATATATATATATATATATATATATATAATATAGAAATTCGCTTGCTTCTCTTATTTAGGTGATTTGATTAGTCTTTCACTTGGTTTTGATCTCTTCAACTATAACACTGGCGTTTATGACATATAGAAGAATTTCAAGAAGAGAGAATAAAAGAAAATAATTATTTTTTCTCTGGGTAAGCCAAAGAAAATTAATTTTGACTCATATATTTCATGTTTTTTTTGGCTACCAATGTTAGGAAATATGTCTCAAATTGCTAGTTCAATTAGGTTTTTATTTTTGGATTGTAATTAAATTATGTTTTTGTTATAGAGTTCTATTTTATTAAGTAATTTTTTTTTGTTAGAAAAGTTTTGTGATCCAATCATTGTAAAGTATTTTGCTCCAAGCAGGGTTGAGAATTATTCTACACGCAGAGTTTTGGCTATGTCTTCTTGTTGCAGTTCCATGTTTCACTTGTCCCAGCAAGACAAGTGGTATCAGAGGTAATCCAGTGTTTTTTGTGCAATTAATTTTATTATTGCTTTCATTCGATCTCCATGTCCATTTTGCTTCTGCTGGCCCAAAAACTACAACTTTAAAAGATCAGTAAAACTATGAAAAGCTGATTTGCACTCAAGAATAATTTGGAGCAATTTGGGGGTGGGCCTTGGCTCAACGGTAAGGTTGCTCAATTTTGACAAGGAGTATCCTGGTTCGAAACCTGAAGCAGTCTCTCCATGCTATTGCATTGGGCAAACCCCCGAACAATTTGAAGCAATTTAAAAACTTCAGCTAAGTACTTAATTATGTTTCTTGCCCAGTCCATTGTTGGTCTTGATGTTATTTTATTTATTGCCTCCTAGATTGAATTCCCTTGCAATGGGTTACTGGCTCAGCTTCTGAATTTGAAGAAAACAGAATGGAACAATGGCATGATAATTAGTTGCGTGAACTAGGGGTGTTCAAACAATCCGGTAAACCGAAAAACCGGACCGGACCGAACTAAATTGGGCGGTTTGGGCTAGTTGTATAGCGGTTTGGTCTGGTCCCGGGCCCGACCAGCCCGGACCAAACCGTTACTATGTTATATATATATATATATATCATACCCTAAACTTAAATCAAGTAAAATTGTCACGTCTCCCGTGCCCCCAAAATTATCTTAACTTTTTCTTTCTTTTGTTCTTTAAATTTTTTTTTAAAAAAGTCAAAATTTCCTTTTTGAATCATATCTCAATTTTTTTTCCTTTCAAATATATCTCAATTTTCTTTCTTTTTTTCTTCTTAAAATTCTTCTTTTTGCCTGTTATATCAATGTTAGTTAATTTTTCTTTTGTTTGTTTTAAACTTTGCCCCCTCTGAATTAAAATTCTAGCTCCGCCCTTAGCTGCCATGAAACTTTATATACCGAGAAAAATAAGAAATTTTGTTTTTAAAAATAAAATAAAAAAGAAATCTACTGAAACCGACAAACCGAACCGTGCGGTTTGGTTTGGTTTGGTTTGGTTCCATGGGCATTATGCTTCGGTCTGGTTTCAAAAATAGTGGAACCGTTATAAATGGTTTGATCCCAAAAAAAACTCCCAATCCGGTCCAAACCGGACCGTGTGCACCCCTAGCATGAACAAATAGTTATTATGAAATAAATCTGTATGTATATTTTGTTTCAGTACTACGGTTGCGGAATCTGGTTGATGGTGGCTGATAACAAGTATATATTATGAATAAATCTCTGAGTAATTTCCTTTTGATATTGTAAATATTGTCTTTCAGATATCATGTCTTACTGTAGCTTTGATTTGTGCGACGAATTATAATATAAGTTGAGGATCTATCATATAGATTCCTGCTGTCAGGTGGCTTGATACTTTGATATAATTTCCTTTGCTTATTTTGATTTTCAGGATTGTTGGTAAATGTTACAAAATGACCTACCCAAAGACAAAGAAAGATAATAATCGACCTATGGATAGAATCAGTAACCTTCCAACCAATTTAATAGAAAGTATACTAATGTTGTTGCCATTGCGGGATGCTGTAAGGACGAGTATTTTGTCAAAGAAATGGAGGTTTTACTGGCTCAAACTCCCACAGCTTGTCTTTGATGATACATTGATCAGAGATTCAAAGAAAAACAAGATCTCAATCCAAAGCAAACTTCACAAGACTATATATCAAGTTTTATTACATCATAGAGGACCAATAGTGAAGTTCACCCTCTCTATTTCTGAATTAGAAAGCTGTGTTTGGATTTACGAGTTGATAGTACTCTTCCTGTTAAGGAATTGCATCAGGGAACTAACTCTTTATATTCAAAGGGGCAACAGCTATAGGTTGCCTCCGGCACTGTTTTCATGTCCACAACTGAGAGAATTGAAACTCAGTAATTGTATAATTGAGCCACCTCCTACATTTAATGGATTTAGTAGGATCAGAAGTCTAGAGTTTCACTCAGTCTACTTTGCCTATGGTGTACTTAGACGCTTGGTTTCTAGTTGCCCACAGCTTGAACAGTTGAAAATTGGACGCAACATCGATTGTGGCTTCCTTGAAATTGATGCTCCTAATCTCAAATTCTTAAGCATAAATGCTAGATTCGGATCTATTCATTTCAAAAATGTCCCTCTTCTTGCAGTAGTTTCAATTACTTCGAATTATGACCAGAGACGAGAGAAATCCGCAATGATTGAGGTTTTTCGTAGTCTACCTGTAATTGAGACTTTGCAGTTGGGGCATCGTTTTGTGAAGGTAAGGTACCTCTAGAGCTCTCATTTCTTGAGTTTGCAATTGCAAAGAAAATCAAATTTCTAAGTTTTTATTGGCTTTTGTTTAGTTCTTGACTGTGGGCTATGTACCTGAGAAGCTCCCATTTACCTTAGACCACCTCAAAGTTCTTCAACTAAAATTTATTCGATTTGGAGAAATTGCCGATGTCTCCTTTGCTCTCTGCTTGATTAAAAGCTCCCCCAACTTGAAATTTTTTGATATTGAGGTGAGCTATAATTGTGCATTGTTTCAAATGTTCTTAAATTGTATTTGATATTTAATTGAGGTGCTTTCATCTTCTTTCTAGGTGTTTACCAGCAAATATGATGCTACAGGAGTAACCGAACCTGTTTTAGAATTTTTGGAAATGCAAGATTATTCAGATATCTCTTTGAATCAACTTCAAGAATTGAAGATGCAATTCATCTCAGGCACACGGCCTGAATTGGAGTTTCTTAAACTTATATTAGCAACATCTCCATTGCTAGAGAGGATCATTATTGAGCCCAACTCAGCGAAGGTTGGAGTGGGGATACTGAGAGAGTTGACACGATTTGAATCTCTCTCACCTAAAGTAGAATTGATATACCAAGAAGCATATAAAAAAACATGTTTAACATGTAGGTGTTATCCATTTTGATCATTGTGAGGGCTTTGAGAGGGATCACATTCAAAAAAATTGGTGGTTTTTTTCTTTTTGTTTGCCCAGGAGGTCTGACGTGACTGTTTCGGCTTAATTAGAGGTCTAAATGGATACCTGATTCTTTTAAGTAGAAAATACACTTTTTTTTATGGCTTTCACCTTTTAGAATTTGCTGTTATAGCTTTTTATGGTGCTTGTTAGATTATATGGTATATAATCCTAGGTTTTACAGTAGCTGCCTTCAGCTACCCAATTTCCATACATTGATATATTGTCCATCACTCAATTCAGGGCGGATCAATATAATTTGAGGCTTTAGGCAAAAATTATAAAAGTGACATCTTAATATATTAATAATATTATTTAAATGAAACTATTTGAGAGTAGGGCAACACAGTTTTAAGTGAATAATATTTTTTTTTTCACTATTGTATTATTTTTAAATTATTTAAAAATTAATTTCCACAATTATTAGTTAATTTTTTTTAGCTTTAACTATTGGTTAAATATATATTTAATAGAAATGTGGAAGAAGGGGAGGAGGAAAAAAATTTAGATGAATGATAGATTTGTGAGTTTTGGTAGAAAGTGAAATGAAAAGTTTAGAATTAATCAAGTTTTTTAGCTAAGAGTATAATAATATAATAAAATAAAGAAATTTATAATATATTGTTAACTCGGCAATATATATATATATATACGTGTGTGTGTGTGTATATATATATATTGGGAATAATAGTAGTAATAATAATAATCACAATAATAATATACGGTAAGGAAGTAATAATTTTAGGACCTTATATGGAAATAGTTACAATTAGATGGAATTAAAAATATAAGGAAATATATATGTTAGGAACTTCGAAAAATAAAATAATAATTTTAGGGGCTTAATAATATAAGGAAATAAAAATTTAAAAAAGTTTAATGAAGCAAGAAAATAATAATTTTAGGGGTCTTCTTATTGGCTCGGTTATCTAATAATGAAAGGAAATAAAATGTTTAGAAGTTGAAATAATAATTTTAGGGCCTAACAGAGAAAGGAAATAAAAATTTAAAGAAGCCTAATACAAAAAGGAAATAATACTTTTAGGGCCTTCTTATTGGTTGGGGTCTTAGGTGCCTAAGTTGCCTAAGGGTCGAGCCAGCACTGACTCAATTACCTAACTTGGACGAGGCTTACCTATGCCCATTCATCACCTTTATATGTGTCTTAGGTCTCGTGTTTCTTCATTAAATTCAATACATAATACATTTCATTTCTCTCTATCTCTCTCTTTTATTTCTAACATGGTGTAAGCTATACACTATTTTCTTCAGTATTTTTTGTTTTTTAAATTTCTTAGTGGTGTTTCAATAAGCCCATCAAAGAAAAAAATTTCTTTTCGGCGTCTGGAATAGCACCTCCACAAGTCCTTTAGAAGTTCTGATCATATCACGCGAAAGTTCAAACTTAGACTTTCCTTGCGCCACCAAAAACAACTCGAATAGATGCTGCACTCGCCTCCACGCGGCGCCATAAGATTCTGATCTTGCTTCCGTTCCGCCATGCGCCGAGGATCTCACCATGCGCTCACACATGCCGAAACGCATTTTCACACGCACTAACGTGCTCACACATGCCCGCATCAGATCGGATCAGCCATGTCATCCTACTATCAGCTACCACGTCAGCACTACCGCATCAGAATTCTGGGTCCACTTTGCCACATCAGCATTCCGCCACATCGGCATTTTTCCACATCATCAGCCACGTCAACTCCAGTTGTCTGCCACGTCAGCACCACTTCATCAACCATTGCCACATCAGTAGTGCTCGAATTTTTTTTCGAAAAAACCATTCTAGCTCAGTTTTTCGCACTTATTCCAAATTTGCAGTCCTTGATAAACTGTGTTTCACAAGCTCTGGTAACGCCCTTATTAAACAGTGCTTCACAGGCTAGCTGCTTCACGGACTGACAACGGGCCAACAGTTCAAGCCGACTTCAAAGGAATTATTGAATATTGAGTTGGTCTGCACGAACGCATTTTAAAAGAAACCAAGATCTACTGTTCTGATAACGGAAATATATAGCTTACTGACTTCTATGCTGGACAGAAGTCCTTGCCCGGAAAATCAAAAAAAAACTAGGAGAATAAAGGAAGAAAGAAACTATAGAACACGGACTGGCGTTTAACGTGTCTTGCTGCATGCTTCTTGTGATAAGGCTTGTGCTTTAGATGGTGACTGTTGACTTAGGGTTTCCGCTGTATGCCTCTTTTATGATAGAGCTTTTGTCTCGAATGGTGATTGTTAAGTGTTGAAGCCTTACTGTGTTTTTTTTGTTTTTGTTTTGTTGTGTTGTACATTGCTCGATTACCCTTCTAGCATATTAGTTATGTTATGGGCTTTAATGCTGTCGATCGAATAGTTGTCTATGTTGTTTGGATCCGTCTGGGCGGAGAGTTCTTTAATGTGTTCTTGTTATTTTGCAATTACTGTGGTGACATCTGCTGAATACTTTATTTCTGGATGATTAAATTTTGGGTTTAAGCGAGGGTGCAGCTATCGTCATGATCGATTGTGGCTAGTTCAATATTTTTTCTAAAGTCACTTAGACATGGAGTATACCTCATCTGGTTTTGAACTTCGACCGGCTCAGAATTGATGTAGATTATGTGTTGACCAAATATGACAGCTCCATTTTGGACCCATTCTGGTGGTGTACTGTGGATTTTGATGAGAATTGGGCTTTCTAGCATGTAGTTTGGTACCAATGACTTTGTTCTAGGGTGATAGCTTTGTTTAGATGACTTAAAAAATTGAAGGCTTCTAAAACATCTGAAGGACAATCCTTTAGCACTGTAAGACTTTTGATCATTCCTAGCTCTAGTAATTGACTAAGGTGGATGTAATAAGATTTGGTTAGGAAATTTGTTTTTCTGGTGATTTGAAAAGAAACAAATTGGTGTAAGGCTACGTCTAAAAGGATGATAGTGTCGACCTTTTTGCGATATCCAAATTCAAGGGTAAAATAGTAATACCCTGTCCCTTGGGGAGGGCTATTGTTTCTTAGGTGGTTTTGAATTGCCACCCATTCTTTGATTCCATCATACTTGACTTCTTCAAGGAGAACGTCCTTTATGTCATCAGGAAAGAATTCAACTTCTTGTTTATTAACAAGTTGACTTGTTTGATTGGTACCTGCAAGAAAGTCAAAGTTTGAAGTGTAGGCACTTATTCGGTTAGTTCAGCTGTGGGTTTTGTTGTTTCCTTTTGGTAAGCCAAATTTAATTTTCGTAAATGAGATACAAGAATATTAAGTTCTTTTAGGAGATTGGACTTATCCTCATTTAAAGCTACAAAATATTCACTCAAAATATTGAGATTTCTAACAAGGGTGCTATAGGAGTTGCTTCTATTGAACCACAAATGATCTAGAATCAATCTCTGGTCTGGGAGAAGGTTATGTCTAGTGTGGAATTGTTGAGCTGGATTTTGGATTATTAAAAGAGGATTTTCCCAGAACAAGACTATAGTTGTCGTTGTTCTGGTACTCCATACTTGCAAATTTAAGAGTCTTTTAATAAACGGGATAAAATATCAACTAAATGATTGTCTTTACCTTTAACATGCTTGAAAGATGGTTTAAAACATTTTCTAGTTATACAATCAATGAAGAAAATTCATCTTTTGGCTGACATCTTCTGTTGTTTAGCTTTATTATCAAATTTAACAATGTTATCACAGTCTGTTCTAATAAGAAATTATTTGTTAAGATAAATCCGAAAATTTTCTGTCCAATATATAATACCTAATATTTCGAGGTCCGTGACTTGACTGAGTTTTTGAAAAAGTTCCACTGACATACCTACATATTTGCTCGTCTTCTTTTGGAGATTCTTTAAAGGGTCTTTGTAGCAATATTCCTGCCCATCCTTTAGCTAAGATTCTTTAGACATTTTATGTAGAGACTTAAACCTTGGGGTGCAACTTGGGCTGGCCAACCCAAACCCAGCCCAGCCCAAAACTTCTGGGACTTGGGCTTGTAGATTCACAAATTGAGCCCAATTCGGGTTAGGTTTTCTCAAAACCCAGCTGATTTTGGGTTGGTCTCGAGTTCAACCCGAAATATATATATATATATATATATATATATATATATATATATATTATTTTTTGCACCTTCCAAATCTTAACCGTTGAATGGTCTTAACAGACGGTTGGTAGCGTGCATCGTTTTTTGAAAACCCTAAGCTCCATTATTATTCTTATTATAAAATTATAAATACATGATTGATTGCAATCATAAATAAACAAATTTGTTCTTTTATATATATGTCTATATATGTTTCCATGCTTTCTATAAATACATGATTGATTGCAATCCTAAATCATGTATGTCTACAAATACATGATTGATTACAATCCTAAATAATTTTCATGTTTCATGTACCAAGAAAGAAAGCCTTGCTTAGCTGCTTGATTCCAACGTTGTAGAGCTTTTCTCTCTCTTTTACCATTTGTTCAAAATATTTTGGTTTGATCTCGGGCTGCTTGTATATATATAAGTTTGTTTTATAGTTTTTTTGGAAAAATTTTAAAATTAAAGTTTATTTAATAACAAATAAAAAGAAAAAAAAATTTATTTTTATATCTAAAACAAAATAAGATACTTTTTATTTTGGTTGCATTAAAAAAAAAAAAAAAAGGGTCAACACGTCCAGCCTGAAAGTATTGGGTTTGGGTTACTTGGGAGTCCAGTTGTGAGTTGAAATTGAGCCAGCCCAACCCAACCGACTTCGGGTTGAGTTTGGGTTGTGACTGGGCTTCCCAACTTGCACTCCTACTTGAATCCTTAACCTCTCAGATGTGTTTAAAAATAAAAAATTATAAATTACTGACATAACTTTCATATATACAATTTTATTTTATATTAAATATGTTCTGACCAAGTATTATAGAACGAATAGAAGTCCAAAAAGTTTAAGGAATGTAATAGTTAGTAAAATAAAGTACCAAAAGAAAAAATTATGAATTTGAGAACGTACTAGTATAATTCAATTTTTAAAAATAAAAATTAGAAACGTAAAAATATTAATACGAATGCGTACATATATAATACGTTTTATGAGCTAAAAATTGAGCTATACACATCTTGCTTATTTTCTTATATATCCTATATTTATTTATTATTTATTTTACAAGGCAAGAAAGGTTAGAAGTTATATTAGTAGGTGCAGAGAGTTAAAGCCTGGCACTCCAAAATCTATCGGAGACACTAACTAACTCGGCTATCGAGACATCTGCATCTTATATTTATAAAAGAGAAAATGTAACAAATAAAAAATGTTATAAATAATAGAATAAATTATTATTTTATACAAATTTGGGAAGGGCGCCTCAATTTCTCTAGAATCTCAGTACTAGTTTCGTGGGTAAAGTTGAGAAACTAGGTAATTTGTATACCGTCCTCAGGAAATCAAAGTTTGAACCACATTGAATGAAACATTAATAAAAGGAATATGCTTTTCAAGCTTTTTTTTTTTTAATCTATTCACTTAATCCAATTTTTTTTTTTTTTTTTTTTTTGTTCTGATCACCTCTTGCTAAAATACGTACTTATGAACGCATCAAAACCTCTAAAGGTTGATGGTTGTGGATGGTAAAAAAAAAAAAAAAAACACACACACACACACACACATATATATATATATATATATATATATATATATATATATGTAATTCGCATATCATTAACTTATTATCTTATTATCTACTTGGTCATCACCGGGTTGGTATTCCATCCCAAATGTATCAAAACTAAGGTTTATTATATAATAATCTATATCTTCAACAAACAAAATATTTTGACAATTCCATATTATGGGAAAAAATACGAAAACAAATTTTATATAACAAATGAAAATTGTATGACAAGTATTGATAGACTCCATTTGGTTTGGTTAGATAGAATCAACGGCAAAAGAAAGAAAAGTGAAAATTTTAAAACATATTTAGAGTTGGGACTATTTTATAAAAATGAAGTTTTGTAGGTAAAAGGACAAAAAAATTGAATCAAACTTCAGTTCTTCAAATAAATAGAGTTTTATGAAAGACTGACGTGGACATGAAAATTTATTACGAAATGACCCAACTTTTCATTCAATTGATATATCCTCTCTCTCACTTCATCTCTCTTTGTGATTACCTGCTCTTTTTGTGTCGATGCGCCCAATTCCCATCAACACCAGCAGAGCATTTCTAACCAACAGGGGCGCCGATTTGATGACTTCAAAAGTTTGAAGTGCTGGTGCTAAGTTCCTGAATCAATTTCTTTTCGGAGGCTCATGACTACTACTAAAGAGGCATTCACCAATACCAATCGCCAAATGACAAAAGGTTCATTTCATTATTATGACCTATCCCTCAACCTCAACCTTAAGGAAAGACATAATGCAGTATAAAGGAAGGGGTTAAGACTGTTGTGTCACCGATCTGAAACTCACTCAGCCAACCTCTCAATCCTCACCAAACTCGACGATCAGTAGCGCAAAGCCCAAGGACATAACCATGGAGCTCAATCTTGATCCTACCCACAGCGAACGACGAACACAAACGGCCTGAGACAGTAACGATTCCGGTCACGAACGGCGAGCACGACACTCCTCAAATTCAGTAGAGTTCGGACCGATTGGTGTTGTTGGGTTTCAATTAAGTTTTGCACACAAGCCGAATCGGTGATGATGGTGGTGGTGTTGGGTTCGATTAGGGTTCTATAAGAAGCCCGCGATGATGGTGATAGGTGATAGGTGATGGTTTGAATGGTTTGCTTTGGTGGTCTCAATCGGGAGGATGATAAAGAGAGATAAAGATAGAGAAACAGCCCATCAATTGGATGGGTAGTTGGGTCATTTCACAACAAATTTTTATGTCCACGTCAATCTTTCATAAAAGTCCATTTATTTGGAAAAACTGAAATTGGATTCCATCATTTTTACCTCCAAAATTCCATTTTTTTGGAATTATCCTCTTAGAGTTTGAATGGAATGAAATGTAAGAATTCTTGAAAATTATGATTCAGCTAGTTATTTTTCTCTAAAACGTTTCCTGCACAAAACACATTGAAAATAAAATTCTCACAAAGGTTTTTTTTTTTTTTTTTTTTTTTACATTCCTATTTTATCCTTCAACTTCGTCCATAATGAGAGACCAACAATACCTTCATTGATTTTTTTACTAGTTTCAAAGAATTGCAAATCAAGAACAACTTTATTTATTAGTGGTAGGGAGCTTCGGACTAGAACCATATTGAATCAAATTACAGAAATAAGCTCTCTATAGTCTCTACCTCATCATTGAAGAGAGGCTAGATCCTTTCAAGGTACCACTTATTATGATGATCTAACCATTTTCAAACATAAATTTATACAAGATACGGATCTTCTCTAATAATTTGTCTTCAACCATTTATCCACCCTTCTTGTGATGTTTTTGTTTGTTCGATGCAATAATCTTTCTCTTATGAGGGTTCTCAGTTTAGCTGAGTTCTCTGTGATATCAAAGTCTCGTCCTCCTTCTCTTCTTGTGATGTTTTTGTTTGTCGACGCTGTGGCTTTGGCATGATGATTGTTAAAGGGTATTCGCGGTTTCATATTCGTTTAGGCCAAGGGGTTTTCTTTTTGTGGTTATGGTAGTGTGTCCTCCCTGTGCTACTTCTCTGGTCTCCTTTCTTCTTCCCTCGTCTTCTTTTGTTCTTTGTTTGGTTGACTTCCTGGTGGCGCAATCTGGTTTTTGTTTTGGGCCATGTTCCTTGCTGGCCCCTATTAGGGCTTCTTTGTCGGATCCGATCGTGGTGGTGTTCTTGGTTGGTGTAGCTATGGGTTTGGTGGGGCTTGAGTGGTTGAGACGGCCTCTGGTGGGCCTGGTCTGGTTAATCCTATGTGGGGTACTTATTTACCTCGTAGTCCCTATCTATCACTTCTTCCCTCGATCAGGTGTTTCACGTGGGCTTACGTCAGGTTATATTGCAAGTTGTAGCTCGGATTAAGGCGCGTTTTTTGTAGTTGTGCTTACTGCCATCATTAAGTTTAATTATGATTGGGAGGTTTTGTTTGGCGTCCAAGTGTTGACCGGCTTCTATACTCTTCTAGTCTGTTCTCTTTTTGGGTTATATCATCTTGTATTTCTCTGTTTCTTTCTTAGGTTCATGGTTGTGCCCTTATACCGACAAAGCAGGTTGAGGGTCTTATTGTGTAGTCTTGTTATTTCTCTTATTTTTCTTGGGTTGATGCGGTCCTCTTTGATTGCTCAAATGAATGGTTTAGCGCTTACGCTTGAGAAGAAGAAGCCGTAAGCGTGAAAAGAAGAAGCCTGTTCACTTATCGGTTGAGGATACTGCTCAAGGGGTGACTATGTGCTGTAAAAGTTTGTTTAGAAAGGTTTAGGCTTCGAAGACTATTACTTTAGCTGGTGCTAAGTACACCTTTGGCAGGATGTTTCAAAAGTTGTGGCCCAAGGAAAGACAGACTGAAACTCTGTCAAGTGTCCTCCCGTCTCATTGTTTATAAAATTACAGGGAATTTGTTTCAACTTGTCATTTCGGATGGTTCGGTTCGTCTCAGGATCCTTCACGGTTGTCCATGGTTGTTTAATGGGCATCTACTTGTGCTAAAAGAATGGGAGGATGGTCTTCTACTCTCTAAGTCATCGTTTCATCTTTCCCCATTTTAGATACAGCTTTTAGATGTTCCAGCTAATTACCTTTCTGAAAAGGTTAGTCGTTGCATTACTGATACTTTTGGACGGTGTTTGAAGGTGGAGCTACGAGACAAGTGTGATACCCCTCGAATCCGAGACAAGGGTTAATCAGGCCTAGGCCCAAACCTGAGGGAATATCAAACAATTAATATTTAAAATGAACACAGAAACTGAAAAATAAATAACTAAAAGAACATTCAGAATCAAGCTATGGAAAGAAGTCCTACTTCATCGGAAGAGTGAGTAGTAGTCTCTGCTCAGCATCAACAAGTCTAAATCTGGAATTGACGAGTACCTAAAAAATAGAAGTGGGTCAGGCCCACGAACAAGTTTTATCCTACTACAATCCAAGTAGAGACTCGATACGCATATACATTCTAACCAACTCAACAATAGCTAATAGTCCATACATAAATATATCCACACTACGGGACTCTCACTGAACTATGAAAAGGGTCTCAACCTGAATAGAATGCAATATGCAAAACATACCTAAGTGGGCATGAGTACCTAAGCCTGACAGGGTATACCTCAACCAATATAGCCAGCTACGCATCTTACTACATATACGCTCTCTAACCGTCGACACTGAGACTCAAGCTCATGCCACAGTACCATAAATATATATTTAAAGTCCTATCCTATCAATTCAGAAGAAATCCAGTTAGTCGTTCAGCTTGTTCAACTGCACAGACTAAACATCCAGAGGAAATCCAGTTAGTCGTTCAGCTTGTTCAACTGCACAGACTAAATATAAGTAGGATTCTATATTTATAATCCATTCACTTATTTCATATAGGTAGGATATAGTATTTTGAAACTAATCCGTCCCTAGTATGCCACCGTCCCATACCGGTGCATACAATTTATCTATCCAGCAGTTGATAAAATAAATAATGAATGCAAATACCAACTAATCCACAGAATCCATATAACTGACAGAATATGGATAAATGTTTACATCAATTAATTCCATAGCAAACATAATAACATTGGCCAATTATCATGCTTATATTTTTAGTCCAATAATTGATGCGACAAATGTTGAAATTTAAACATCAATTTAATCCTTAACAAGCATAACAAAAATATAAGATTTGACATGCTTATTTTTCCATTGATACATGATTAGAAACATATAATCACTAACAGAAAATTACTAAAATAAATCCAAGCAATTTAACTTTTCCATAGCCAAAACCAGTACGCATAAATTGTTAAGAAATTGTTTTATAACTCCGTATTGTCCAATTCCTTAAGCATATGAATTGTATTATGCATTCTAAAACCTTCCAAAGTCCATTTAACCCATTTAGATTAATTAAAATAGGTTTAAAAATATTTTTGGGCAATTAAAACCAACATCCAGGTCGCGGTCCAACTGAGCAGGCTAAGTTCCCAACTTAGTTGGCTGAGTTGGTGCTAAAGTTGTCTTCTTCGTCTGTTCAACCTCCGTAAACCCTAAGACTCCATAGTTAACGCCTCTAAGCTTCAACCTAAGTCCCATACGTCCATACTAAATTATTTTAAGTGTTTTAGTAGGCAAAGATTCAACTTAAACAACAGCTCATGCATAAAAATCTAAGAATAAAGAAATCACGCACAAGCATATATAATCATGAAACTCTCTGTTTTAGTCCGATTAAGCATGCGTGATTTATCCGTTTTAATTGTTTAAGTCTCCTGTAATATCCTAGGCATGTATAGAAACACATACTGATTTAATTACATCTGACATGCAAACCAGATTAACGTTTATATTTCTTTACTCCTGAAGTTGTGTTAAGAACATAAAGAACACGAGCCAAAGGAAAAGAGTTAGGATTAGAACTTGCCTTTAGCCTTGCACAGTCGTCTTCCTAAGTTCTCTGGCGAAAACCACCTACTGAAATCCTCTTCTGTTCTCTCTCTGCCTCCACAATCGTGAATAGGGTTCTAAAACCCTAACTAGACGTGTGGTACATATTTATAGACCACAATACCTAAGTCCAACTAAACCCTAAACCTAAACATAATCGGCCCATAAACAAAACCTATTTTTATATACGTTATGTCTGCTACCAATTTCATAAAACAAAATTAATTAATTAAAACTTTTAATTCACCAAATAACATAATCAATTCAACCATTAAATCACCAAATAAAATAAAACAGTCAAATAAAGTAAAACAATTAAATAAAATAAAACAGTTAAATACACGATTAAACAGGTAAAGCAAACCAACTAATAAAATAATTAAATAATTAAGCAAATACACAATTAATCACACAAAAATAAAATAAATCAATAAATTAATCATACAATTAATGCCGAGACTATCCTTTTAAAATTAGGGGTATTACAACAAGGGAATGATTGAGAGCAAGGAGACTTTGCGGGTTGATAGTAGGGTTCTCCACCTCAAAGTGGAGTTGGATATTATTAAACCGCTTCATCAGAATGTGCGGTTGTTGGGTCTATTGGATACGGATTTTTGGATTCAAGTTCGATATGAAAAGGTTATATCTTTGTGTTTTGCTTGTGGACTTATTGGGAATAATTGGAAGGTTTGTAATGTTGGTGCCTCCTGTCCTCTTGTGGAGTTGATGGAGTATGGGCCTTGGTTAGGTGTGGAGAGCTACTTGGGGAAGGATATTTGGAAAACCGGAGGTGATCGAGCTAAATCTTTAGCTGTGAGTAGAATTGTCTCTATGTGGAGGGAGAAGATTCGGATGGTGTTTTTGGCGACCCCCCTTTGACTGCGCCTCGTGGTAGGGTTCTTTATCTTACTGTTCCTGTTGTGGAAGAGGCGTTGTCAACTGTGGACAAGGGTGAGTTGGGAGCAGCTGGTGCTGGTAAAAGTGCTCGCAGGTTCTCCTTTGGGTGCTACCGAGGTTGTGCTGGTCAGTCTAATGGAAGTGTTCAGGCGGGGATGGGCGTGTCTGGTCAGGCCAATAATGGAGTTCATGGCTCCCTCTCTCAGAGCTTTATTGTTTCAGCCCACCTTGAGGAGCCAGTTCAATGTGTGCCATTTGTTTCTCAAGGCCAAGGGCTGGTGTAGCCTTTATCGTGGTGGGATCAACTTTCCAAAGGTGGTCGTAAAGGTAAGGGTTTGGCGATGTCTTAAAAAGGCCGATCTTCTGATTCTTCGGCATTCTCTCAAAGCCAGGGCTCTTCTCCCACGAAGATCAGCCGTAAGCGTCGCCCACTCACCCTTGTTTCTGCCCCGAGATCAACTCCGTTAGATGGGAAGAAACCTAAGGTTTCATTGGCTCCTCTTAAGGCGTGTTTGGTTACGGATCAATATTCGTTTGGTGCTGTGGGTAACATTCCCCTTGTTACGCAGACAAGGGATTTTGCTTATTCTGACTCATCTCCATCGCAGTCTTTTGCTACACAGCTGGCACTTTTGGTTGGTGTTGTCCAACCTCGAGCTGTCACTTCAAATTGATCTGTTTGATGTCTTGTTTTTTGCGAGTCTTATGGTTCTTTTGTTTTGTTTGGTTGTTCAGTTTGTTCCTTTTGGTTATGGTTCGTGTTTTGTTGCTCGGTTTCTTGTACATGCCGTAGGGCGTTTATGTTGCTAAGCCCAAAAAAAAAAAAAAATTTTAGTGGTAGATTTTTTTTTTTTCCATTGTATATGGTAATCAAATAAATAATAAATTTTTTTTTTTTTTTAACACAAATAATAAATAATAGTTTGGAATGTGTGAATTAATTGAAACTTCATATTTATATATAAGGTAAATTACAATGATCTCCTTCAAGTTTGACCTAATTACAATTAAACTGAAGTTTGTCATATTTTTTGCATGACCCCTAATGTCTGATTTTATGGTGAATTTACTCATCTGCCCTTATTATTATATTATAAAAAATAATCAAAATATTTAAAAATAGCAAATGACCCTTTTGCCCACATTTACCCACGATTCCTCTTTCCTCTCCATCGCCACCATCACCAGTAACATCGACACCACCACCTTCCATCCATAGAATCATATATGAGTGAAGCCTTTAGTGAAGCACATGTATGTTTTAAGTTTTCACATTACATATACAATGTAAGTTTTCACAATTACATATATATACACAGTGAAGCCTTTGGTCTTCATGTTGCTGAAATTCTCACCATGCGAATTAGCAACCCAGTTGAGAGAAAAGGTCTGAAGCCAAAATCACAAGCTAATTCTGTTTCTTCACCTATGAAATCGTCAAATTCACAACAGAGAAAGCAATTTTCTCGCCTTTGAAGGGAAACCCAGATAGAAAAATGGGTTTGAAAGCAATCCAGAAACCCAATTTTTTTTGTCTAGGATTTTGAAAAGTTCGATGCTCGAAGGCGCCGGAAGCCCGAACACGATGCGGGCTTCCCTAAGAGTGCCGACGTTGCCATCTTCGACGATGATGTGGCAGCTCTTGAGAAAGTTCTTTTAGGCCTGGGGGTTGTCAAAACGGCGGACGATGGACCAGACGGCGAGGTTTGATTTTATCATGAAGGAATGGTTACGGGAGATATGGGGGTATCTAATTGTGGGTTTGGTTTTTATGTGGGTTTGTTTGGCAGTGATGGCGGTTGCCGATGAAGTGGTAGTGGCCCTTGTTTTAAATGTATTAATTTACAATTATGAAACAAACCTAATTAAGGGGTAGTTTGGTCCACTCAAGCATGTTTTTTTTGTTATTCCATATCATTATAAGGGTAATAGGGTCTTTTCTACTTAATTGATGGGCATTTGAGTTATTTCAACCAAATTTTCAGACAAAAATGATTGAATTTTTTAGGACTTTGTAAAAAAAATGGCAAAGAGACGTGTTGTTAAAAAATAACAAATTTTAGATTTAGTTACAATTAAACCAAACATCAAGAAGTCATTTTAATTTACCCATACATATATATAAAACAGCTCTTTACTATTTTACTATTTATATTATTATTTTACTATTTTTTATAAAATAATGACAATTTAGGTAAGTGCAAATAATTTTTAATAATTAAATGCTATTTAAACTATATGATATATATATATATATATATATATATTTATAATTTTTCGTTTCTTTACTTTTCTTGTTAGTTCCATCTAGCATAAAAGAAAGTAAGAAAGAAGATACGTTTGAGTGATGGCAGTTGCTCAGTTGTCTGTTGGTGTGCCACACCGTGCGATACATTGCGAGGATCACAGCCGTCTGTTTGTGTATTGCATCGTGATATACACCGCACACGATCTTGGCTTCAAGATTTTCCTTAAAAGTAAATGTCTTTCTATAAGTATATATAATATTGTTTGTTTATTATATATAAAAAATCCCTTGCCCTTCTCATTCTCTTTCTCTTCCTCGTCCTCGTCCGGCGAAGATAGTAGGAGAAGAAGATAAAAGAATCTCCCTTTTTTGGTCTCTTCAATCTCTGGTATTATTTGCAATCTCATATATTTAATGTTCACAAGAGTTTGATCTCTTCAACTATAATATTGTTGGGCTTCATTTAGATTTCTAAGAAATTTGTTTTACCAGTTGTATTAAATAAAATTTTGACTCATGTTTTTCAATTTTTATTACCAAAACTTTAGAACAACAGTAAAATTATGCATATTATTTTGTATGATTGTTGAGGAATTATGCATATTGTTCGGTGATATGGGCGATTAGCTATGCTAATAGGGAAAACTTGCATATTGTTTGGTCTTAGTCTTCTTTTTCCTACCAAAAGTAGGGATATTGTTTTGCACTCAAAAGAATTATTTGGAGTGTTTTGCACTTAAAAGAATTATTTGGAGCAATTTCAAACATCCAATTAAGTACTTAATTATGTTAATTGTTGATCTTGATGTTATTTTATAAATGCTCATTGATAAGGATAGATACACAATCTCACTAGATCATATCAACAGAGCAAAAACTCTAACAAAGTTCCAATTTCCTCAAATTTTCATTTTCAAGATCCTACAAGTTTCATCCTTTTATAAGCATTTGCAACCAACAATACAATAAATGCCTATCACAACACCTAGACATCTCACTTATGACATTTTATAGAAAACATTAAATGCACCCAACAAACATTTCAACCAATTGTTTACTTGGTAATGTTCATTGTTTGCTTTTCCTATTCCAATATTATCTTCACCATTTCACTTTTTAACTTTCTTATTTTTTCTTTTTATCATTCACATTTTACCACAACACCCACACACACATACATTTATATGTTATACTATATGTCTTTCTTCTCACCTTTTACCTATGGAGCCCATATGTTTCCTCCATTATGGCATACTACATATATTATATTATATATTTTAACCCTTTTTTGGTCAGTCACCTCCACTTCAAAAAAACTCATCCTACTAAATTAGCAACAATGCAGCAATGAAACAGGGAAAATAGCCCTTCCATCAGGAAGATCAACAACATAAGCATGTCCCTCTTCCCTCTTGAAAACACACTTGTCTCCAGTTCTCACATGAATTTGATAATAGCTACCCGAGCCAACCACCATATCCAATATAGCATTGAAACGCAATATAGGAGCCAACTCCTTAATTTGCCTTTGCAACACTTCATTCTCAATTGGACTCGTGCAATATTGTTGCAGATTTGGTAAACTCATGTCGGTAACCAAATCTTTATGATTTTGACTATCCCGTATGGGTTGCAAATCATCTTGCAATCCTTCCAATGCCGATTCTTGATATATAGGTTGCACTGGATTCGGAATGAGTGCCTCTCCTTTCGCCTCTTTGCTCTCAACAACGAGCTCGACAACTTCACCAATTGTTCCTCCAACTGTGCCTTAACTTCAGCAAGAAAAAAATACCCCTCTACTTTAGAAGCTTTGGGTGGTTCTTCTCCTATAGGCGTCATAATTTGACTCTGGTCCAGCACCCGCAATCTTGCAATATATCCCTCTATTTGTTGACTTATAGTCTTTAAGAGATTACTGCGTTCATTCAATCTATAGAACTCAGCGGTATAGTCGCTAACACATCAAGATTTCTGCCTGCAACTTTGGTACTGGTGATCCGACATATGTTCATACTTTAGTGTTGGGAATCGCTGCTTCATTTTGTGCCACGTTTGTACATGTCACTTTCCTTGCCGTCTATCATTGCTTTATGTCTGTTCCCACCAAGCAGAAACACCTCCCTTGAGATTGTATTGTACTGCCGTCTATCATTGCTTTATGTCTGTTCCCACCAAGCAGAAACACCTCCCTTGAGATTGTATTGTACAAGCTTAACCTGCTCGTTTTCGGGTATCTCCATATACGCGAAAAAACGCTCTACATTGTTAAAGGGATAAACAAATACAATCTCACATGGGGATCATATCAATAGTGCAAAAGCTCTAACAACTCAAAAGAGTTACAATCTACTCAAATTTTCAATTTCAAGATGGGTTAATGATTTTTCCTTCAAGCTTACATCCTTTTGTAAGGATTAAACCGACAATACAATAAATGTACCAGTCACTTTTTATTCACTTCAATTTCCAAATACAGGCTCCAATTCATTATTCATAAGCCAGCCTAACGCAGCACCGGCCTAACGCAACACCTAGACGCTTCAAATCTGGCATTTTACAGAAAAACATTAAATGCATCCAATAAACATTGACTGATTGCTTTTCCTATTCCAATATCATACCTCACTATTTCGCTTTTTGACTTCTTTCTTTCTCTTTGTTTTCATTCACGCTTTAGCACAACACCCTTACACACATGCATGTATATGTTATATATATCTCTACACACACAAAATCACATTTTTTTCTTTCTTTTCACCTTTTACCTTATTGAAGGTTTGGTGTTACTAAAGGAATCAGTGGAGAAAAATTCTCGTTGTTTCCTATTTTCCGAATTCTTTCCATTCTCAAAATTTCTTCTCCTATATAAAGGAGCCTCCACAATTATATTGTGTATGAATTAAGAGAGTTTTATAAAAGTGATGTAGCCCTTTGGGCTCTTTGTGCTGTAAATGTATGCTCTAGTGGTTGAACCACGTAATATCGGTGTATTTTACTTGTTTTTCCCGTTTTATACTTTACAACATGGTATCAGAGCCTAATTTCTCTTCCTAGGTTCGGACCCCTATTTTAGGGTATTCCTTTAGCATCTGAAATGTTGCCAAGGGTTTCTCAGTGCTATTTGTGACTTGTTTGGGCTGCCGATTTGTTTGGCAATAATGTTTTTCGCCTTTGTCATGTCTCCGGTTGCCGGTGTGTTAGGTAGCATTGTTTTCATCTTTGCTATGTCTTTGGTAGTTTTTATCGACTTGTTTGGGTTGTTGGTGTGTTCGGTAGCATTGTCCTCATCTTTGTCGGTGTGTTCGGTAGCATTGTCCTCATCTTTGTCGCGTCTCCAGCAGTTTTTTGTTGACTTGTTTGGGCTGTCGATGTGTTCGGTAGCATTATTCTTCGTCTTCTCTCTTCATCATTCACACTTGTTGTTACTCGTCATCTCAATGGCAAGTTGGGCATTTATGTTCCAACTTGAGGGGGAGTATTGAAGATTTAATCGAGGAATCAGTGGAGGAAAATCTTTCCGTAATTGATATTGTTTCCTATTATTGAAGATTTGGTATGTTCTACTCGTTTCATTTCTCTCTTCACTTCCGTTTTATGCTTTGCAACATACTTAAGGAGCCCATATGTTTCCTCCATTATTGCATTACCATATATATATTATATTATGTATTTTAACCCATTTTTGTCCTACATCAGATTGGCTCCTAGATTAAATAGATTCATAGAAAATGGGCTTTCTTGCAATGGGTTTCTGTCTCATCTTGTGAATTTGAAGAAAACAGAATGGAACAATGTCATGATAATTACTTGCTTGAACAAAATAATTATAATGAAATAAATCTCTGTATATTTTTTTTTAGCACTACAGTTGCAGAAAATTTTGGTTGATGGTGGTTGATACAGTGTTGTAACTAAATCAAATAGATATTATGAATAAGTATCTTTGTGAATATTTTCTTCTTCATATTGTGAATTTTTCCTTTTAGATATCATGCCTTACTGTTCCTTTCATTTCAGTGACGAATTATAATATAAGTTGACGAAGTAGCATACAGATTGCTTCTGCAATACTTCGATATAATTGCCTTTGTTTGTTTTGATTTCAGGATTGTAGATACTTGATAAGTGTCACAAAAATGGCCAACCGAAAGAGAAAGAAAGTTGCTCATCAAAAAACTAAGATGGTTAGTTTACGCATGGATAGAATTAGTAACCTTCCAAGCAATTTAATAGAGAGTATAGTAAATGATGTTGCCATTGCGGGATGCTGCAAGGACGAGTATTTTGTCAAAGAAATGGAGGTTTTACTGGCTCAAACTCCCACAGCTTGTCTTTGATGATACAATGATCCAAGATTCAATGAAAAACCAAAATTCACTCCAAAGCAAACTTCTCATGACTATATATCAAGTTTTATTACTTCATAATGGACCAATAGTGAAGTTCACCCTCTCTATTTCTGAACTAGAAGGCTGTTATGAGATTTACCCGTTGATACTTGTCCTGTCAAGGGGTGGCATCAAGGAGCTTACTATTGATATTTGTAAGGGAGACATCTATATGTTGCCTCTGCCACTATTTTCATGTCAAGAACCGAGACAATTGAAACTCAGTTACTGTTGATTTGAGCCGCCTCCTACATTTGACGGATTTAGTATGCTCGTAAGTCTAGAGTTTTACGAAGTTGACTTTGCTGACGGTGTACTTGGAAGCTTGGTTTCTAGTTGGCCACTACTTGAACGGCTGACACTGGATGGCTCCATCCATTTTGACTACCTTGAAATTGATGCTTCTAATCTCGACTTCTTAAGCATAAGTGCCAGATTCGGATCTATTCATTTCAAAAATACCCCTCTTCTTGCTGTAGTTTCAATAACTTCCAATGATGCTGATGGATTGAATTTGGAACATGTCGAGGAAGGAGAGGCATCTGAAATGCTTGAGGTTTTTGGTTGTCTTCCTGTAATTGAGACTTTGAAATTGGGCTTTCGTTTTATGAAGGTAAGGTAGCTTTTAGAGCTTTTATTTTGTGTGTTTGCAATTGCAAATAAAATCTTGTTTCTCAAGTGTTCATCGGCTTTTGTTTAGTTCTTGACCATGGGCGGTGTACCTGAGAGGCTCCTGTTTACCTTAGACCACCTCAAAGTTCTTCAACTAAATGAAATATATTTTGGAGAAATTGTAGAGGTCTCCTTTGCTCTATGCTTGATTAAAAGCTCCCCCAACTTGAAAAAAATTGAAATTGAGGTGAGCTACAACAGTTTATTATTTCAAATGTTGTTTCATTGTATATATAATATTTAATTGAAGTGTTTTCATATTCTTTCTAGGTGTTTACTAGCAAAGATGGTGCTCCAGGGCCTCTGGTTTTAGAATTTTTGGAAATGCAAGACTACTCAGATGCCTCTTTGAAACAACTTCGAGAAGTGAAGATGCGATTCATCTCTGGGACAAGGCCTGAATTGGAGTTTATAAAGCTTATATTAGCAAAATCCCCGATGCTAGAGTCGATGCTTATTGAGTCCAACACGAAGAAGATCGATGATAATGGAGTGGCGATACTGACAGAGTTGACACGATTTCGACGCATCTCACCTAATGTAGAAATTATCTACAAAGCAGCAGATTAAATATGTGTTTAGCATATGGGTTATAGTATTCATTTTGATCATTTTAAGGATTTGAGAGGGATAATACTCAATTATACATGTGGGTTTTTATTTTTATTATTTTAGGAGGCCTAATGTGACTTGTTTTAATTAGTGGTGCTGATTATTTTAAGGAAAATGATAAGGGGCCGAAGGATAACCCTGAAAAAAATGACCGAATCTAACGTAATCAAGCTACGTCAAATTCTCTAAAATATTGTGAAGAGTAAAAGAGTCATCACGTGCTTAGATCACCCCCAAAATTAAATTAAAAAAAAAAATTGTTTGAGAAGAATACAAGGAAGGTAATGGAGCCATGGATACTGTGAAAATGACCAAAAAAAGGTGGGTATATACAAATATATATATATACACACACACACACAATTACATATATGTTGGTAATATATCATAAATATTCAAAAAAAAATTTATACAAATTTCGTAATAGATTTAGGTATTACTCAATGATCTGATGTTAAGAATTATATGATCATCTTGTATTCAAATCACGTAAAAAAATTAGGGAGTATTCACAACATCACTCTTTGAATCAGTTTTTTTCTCCGGGAGCAATTCAACCAATACAGTGAATAAGTTGATTCCTTAAAAAAAGATATGAGTTCTCTCTAATTTTGAAGACTTCTGAGTTTTTCGGTATTCCCTTTCACGATATACAATTACATTCCCACCTTTTCTTTTTTTGATTATTTATTTTACTTGCACGTAATGGACTCTTTTATTCCCTCACGCAAGAGGAGTGAGAATTTAAGGTGGCCAAGCCACGCCAAGTTCGGTAATTAATTCGTGGGGTACTTTTCGATTCCCCTATCACAGCTCGGAGTACATAGAAACTCATAAATTTGAATGTGATGTTCGTTTGCGGGTTTTATCAATTTTATTTGAAAAATTGGGGTTTGTTTTTTTATTTCAGCTCGGAGTACATAGAAACTCACAAATTTGAATGTGATGTTCGTTTGCGGGTTTTATCAATTTTATTTGTAAAATTGGGGTTTGTTTTTTATATTTCATTTGGGATTTTATCAATTTCAAGTATTGTTTGCATTACCAGCAAAAGGGTGAAATAAAAAATAGAGATAATTTTTGCACATTTTTTAAATAGCAAAGGATTTTTTTGTACTTTACCTTTCTATTTTTCTCTCCTTCAAACATTGATTAATGGTTATCACATAACAGAACGTAAAACTGAAAGTGAAGTAATTTTTAACTCAAGATTTATTTTTGGACAGAAAGAGTACAAATTACTAGTATGATATATTTTTAAAAAAATTATATATATATATATATATATAAATGGCTGTTGATATTGGCGCTCCAATATCATATTTAGAAGCTCCACTTTCTTTTTTTTTTATAAAACAAAATTACATAAGAGCCAAAATTCACTATTCTAATCTCTTATATTTTTTAGTACCATAATTATCCTTATCCCAAGATTAGGAGTCTTTTAAATTGGAATTCTTTTCATCTTTCTCTCACTTTCTCTGTCATCCCATCTTTGCTTATCTTTTAGTCATGTCTCACCTCTATGAGCAATTCATATTTCTTTTTGTTTTCCCTTTTTGTCCCAGTAAGATCATAGTTGTGGTAATTAAGTTTCAGGATGCCAATTTCATGTCTGTCCCTTAAACTAGGATAGGAAGAAGAATCCACCAACATTGATTGATTCAGTAAACCAACAACTTATAATACTTCCATTAGAAAGATGCATGAAAAGAGATAGGAAAGCTACAAGATAAAATAAGTGCCACACTGGCAACCCAAAGCATTAGAAGAAACCAATACTGGAATTTAGGGAGAAGATGAAAAAAGTTTTTTTTTATTTTTTATTTTTTATTTTTTTTAAGATAAAAAGGGTTAAAAATTATATTAGTAGATGTAGAGAGTCGAAACCTGACACTCTAAAATTCATTGAAAGTACAAATTAACTGGGTTATCAAGGCATTTGCAAAAATGAAAAATAAATTAAATACTCCTAACCTTGATAAAGATTAAAGAAGGGTAATTATGGTATAAAAAATAAAAATAGGGTTTTGAGTTTTTATTTATTTATTTATTTATTTTTGGGTATATTGACCTAATAAGAAACCACTCAACAAGATTTGCGTTGAAATGGCATGCACATATTCATAAATCTGTGGCTCAAAAATTGAACGCACAACTAGCACTAGCCCACTAGCTTGCTATAAATGATTTTTATGAATTGTTAAGCCTTCGTGTCATTGATCATTAATGCGTTAAATAAGAAAGTGAATATTTCACTTTCTTATATTTGGTGGTATGTATTAACCAATTAAATATAATAGATTTAATAATTTTTGTTAACTGGATGGGTGAAATTGTTATTACTCATGATTTTTGGGTCACTTGTGATTTGATTTCAACCTTTAAAAAGTGAGATATCTCGATAGTCCACCGAGTTTGTGCCTCTAGTGAATTTTAGAATATCAATTATTTTAATACTTCTTGCCTTGTAAAAAAAAATTGGTGTTAGATCCCAATTGTGGTTCTTTTTAATTAACGAGGATATGGAAGGTAGTTGTATAGAATACCATCTCAAAATCAGATGATATTTTAAGAGATAAATAGGTTTCATAGAAAGATGATAAAATAATTTAATATTGGTACCAAAACAAAGATTTATACACTAATCTTTATTTTCAACAAGCAAAATATTTTGACAATTCTATATTATGGGGAAAAAAACATGGCAAAAAAGAAACTAAGAAAAGAAAATACATAACAATGGCAATTTCAAAAATCAATGAGCCATAATGCAGATGGTATATTGGCTCCTCTCAAAAGGGGTCATAGCAAGGGATAATCAACCAATTGAAATAGCCGAGCCGAGACTAATTTAATAAGAGAAGCGACCTGAATCCCGTAGTGTTTGAAGGAATCGTGTACACGTTGTTGTGCACCAAAGCACGAGACGTGATTATATAAGAGAAGGAACCCGGATCCCTCGTGTGCACAAAATAACGTTGTGTGGTGTGGTGCGCAACTCAAAAGTCAAAGTGAGTTTCACATACGATTTTGTGCCTGTGCATCAAAAAACAGAAGTTTGGTGTATTACGGTGCAAGTAGAGATGGTAATGGGGTGGTTTAGGGGTGAAGAAGCCCAACTCCATCATCCCAATTTAACATAGTTCATCCCTCTCTAAAATCGTTTAATGAGTTTAGTACCGTACTTTTGTAGTTGTTTTACGAATTTAATGAAGATAAATAACTACAAATAATGTTTTTGTATTTGTATTATGAATTTAATAAAAATGACTAATTTCAATTACACCACTTGAAGTTTGGCCAAATCTCACATGAAAATATCTTTCAAAAATAAATATTACTTATACTCTAAATCACTTTTCAGTCTCTAACAGGGACAGAACCAGGAATTTGGTTCAGGGGGTATGTTAATACTAATAAAATACAGGTTAAAAATATAAGTGTAACAACAGTGCATTGGAATAATGAATAAAAAATGAATAAGAAAAAAAAAAAAAAAAAAAAAAGAAGGTTATTGCACATAAATTATGCATGAGTGCAAAAAAAAAAAAAAAAAAAAAAAAAAAAAAAAAAAAAAATTAAAATTATGAAGAAAAAAGAAATTTTTAAGAAGAAAATGAAATAAAAAGAAAAAAATATGAGAGAATTTTGAAGGAAAAGATCGGTTTTAATTGTAGAAAGAGAATGCAAAAGTTTTTAGAGATGACAAAAAGAAATTTGAAAAATAAGAAGGAAAAGGAATAAAGAAGTAAAGATATTTTTAGAAATAGATAATTTTATGGAGATAATTTATAAATTTTATGAGGGTGTTTTATAAATATTTACAAATTATACGCATAAAATAAAATAAAATTTAGTGGATTCAGGGGCGAATGGGCCATTTTATTAATTTTAAGGGGGACATTGTGTCAATTTTTATAAATTTATGTATAAAAATATAAACAATTCTAGTGGGGCAGCACGGGCAAAGGGACAGTCACACATCTTGCGGACATGCTGCCTCCGCCCCTTATCTCTAATACTGTTAAAATAATATGAATGAACATTTTTACCCTCATTTATTTATTATATTTTAATTTAAAGTAACGAAAATTTGAAATGACTGAACTAGCCTCATTAATTACTCTGACCTACAACTCTCTCTCTCTAGACAAGTCATCTCACTGAGTCACTGACTCACCTTTGTCTCTTTTTCACAGACTCACTCTTCCTAACCACAACTATGAACCTCTAACATTGATATCTCTCAATAATTATATATATATATATATATACACACACATCGTGAATGTATATTGCATACGGATTATCATAAGTCATCCCTCTCGAATCTGGACATATCAAAAGGTGCTCAAAATTCAAGATTGCTACCCGGGCCCGTACAATATTCTCTTTTCAATCACCTATACTTTTGCAATCCTGTTGGCCCAAAGGTTGATTACTTTGTTGATCCTTCATTGCTAGCTTAATGTCACGATCCGATTCCTAACAACGCCATGAACATAGAAGACACGCATGCTGGTTGGCTAAGAACATTCATTGACTGGGAATGGTTCCAGGGAAGGGGCGTGCAGGACCACAGGATGGTACCTCTTCAGAGTTCAGGCAGGTTGACTCAGTTCAGTTCGAGGTGCTTGTCGCTAGTCTTGGACTTGACTATGAAGAAGGGAGTTGGCCATCCCTGCACAAACTGGTCGGGAGCTGGAGCCGTTCCCCTGACGAGGCCATGGCAGGCCGAAACCAGTCAGCATGTATCCTTGGGAGGGCAGGTCGTGGTGGCTGACTAGGGCGCTTGCGCGAGCTGAAGCAACACCTTGGTGCCGCACGGGCCGTGCCGCTGCGCCAAATCTCTAGGCCCGTGACAAATGGTATTAGAGCAGGACTTGGGGAAAAGCACAAAGGTGTGCCCCCTTGTCGATCCGGGGGTCTTGAGAATGAAGACGGTGCACTAAAGCGTCGGTGGGCAATCAATGCTGTTGGAGGAGAGCCTCCATCTCCCCATGAAGACGCGTCCTTTGAAGCCGGAGGGCCGCGCGCACCAAAGTTCTTGCAAGTTCAAGAGGCGTGCAAACCGTTGTGAAGGGCGGGTATCAAGTCAGCCGGAGGGCGCTTGTTTGCTCGGGGTGTCGCGGAGGCGGCATAACGTGGGGTTGCGTCTCGAAGAAGTGGGCGTCCCTTTAGCCCGAAAACCTATCATTGGGCGAGTGCAGCCAGGGGTTGTACAAGGAAGCGATGGTGGGCAGGCGAGCATACCACTTGGAAGAGAGAGACTTTGGAATGTTAGACGCAGCGGAGTCAACGCCGCACTGCGACGAGGGCGTCGCAGGATTTGGGTGGGGGAGAATGTCACGATCCGATTCCTAACGACGCCATGAACATAGAAGACACGCATGCTGGTTGGCTAAGAACATTCATTGACTGGGAATGGTTCCAGGGAAGGGGCGTGCAGGACCACAGGATGGTACCTCTTCAGAGTTCAGGCAGGTCGACTCGGTTCAGTTCGAGGTGCTTGTCGCTAGTCTTGGACTTGACTATGAAGAAGGGAGTTGGCCATCCCTGCACAAACTGGTCGGGAGCTGGAGCCGTTCCCCTGACGAGGCCATGGCAGGCCGAAACCAGTCAGCATGTATCCTTGGGAAGGCAGGTCGTGGTGGCTAACTAGGGCGCTTGCGCGAGCTGAAGCAACGCCTTTGTCCCGCACGGGCCGTGCCGCTGCGCCAAATCTCTAGGCCCGTGACATTAAGGTTGATTACTTTGTTACTCTTTTATTACTAGTTTATTAATATAATTAATCTGTACTTGATTATAGTGTTGTGCATTTATATACATATTCAGTATGTTTGTAGTCCAAATTCTCAAATTTATTGCCAATTACTTCTATTTTCTTTGTCATTATGATATTATGTTTAATCGATTTTGAAAATTTTCTCTCCTGATGGCTATATACATATACATACATACATATACATATACATATACATACATACATACATACATACATATATATATACTTGGTGGGAGAAGAGAGAGAGAAATGGGTTCAATTTTTTGATATTTTGGTTATTTAAAATGGATCTTAGAGGTAGTTAAGTCATTTTATATATGAAACAAGTTTTTGGTAGGTCAAATACAAAGTCAAATATAGTTTAAAAATGTTATTCTACATATAAAAAGTGATCTGACATCATTTAAAAGTAAGTTTGAGATGCTGAGTGAAAAACGGATCAAACATTTATAATGTGAGTGGTAGTTATTTTCAAAAGATGTCTCTATGTAAAATTTGGACAAACCTCAGGGATTGTTACTGAAATTAATCCTAATAAAAATAAGGACAATGCTTAGATATTCACCATAGGATGTACACCATTTCTTCCTTAATGTGGATTAATAATAAATGGACCGTCTTATTTCATTACCTAATTAGAGAGGGTGTATGCAGTCACATCTCTAATTTAGTAATTAAAGATAACTTATCAATTTTTTATTGGTCCACACAGTGAAAATGTATTGTTCTAAAAATAAACAGTGAAACAAATTTTCAGATATGGTAATAATTTATTTTCTCTTGTGCTAATAAAAACAACATTAAAATCTTCAACATTTAAACCTAATATTATCTAGGGTTTGCTTAATATATACCATTTATTACAATTTTTAATATAAAAATAAAGTGAAATTATAATTTAGGGCAAGTTTTCAATTTAACCTGTATGTTTTTCATACGGTTAAGAGAGGAATCTTCAAGATATTTCTTCAAAGATACATTTATCTCTACAGAAATCTCTTTATTCTAATCAATTTTTCGAAGGGTTTTATCTCATTGATAGGGTGCATAAGATCAACATCGGCTCATTCACTTCATGTACCATTAATATATATATATATATATATATAATCACTTGCCCTTCTCTGTCTCATCCAGCGAATATAGTTTTGACCGAAAACAGGAGAAGAAGATAAAGAATCTAGCTTCTATTTTATGTTTATTTGCTTTTCACCAAATAAGGGGGTTTACGCATTTTTATGTTAGCTTATGCATTCTCTTACTTGGTTGATCTTATTAGTTATTTGGCTTTCCGATGGGTTTCATTTAGATTTGGAAGAAATTTGTTTTATTAGCTTTTATGACCATATTGAAGAATTCAAGAAGAAATTTAATTTTGACTCGTATATTTCATGCTTTAAAAAAAATAAAATATGGTCGATTGGCTATTTAAATAGGTAAAGCTGCCATGGATAATTGTTGAGGAATTGTGTGTTATTTTGCCGTCTTATGTTTTTTTTTTTTTTTTTTTAATAAACGAAAATGAGGGATATTGTTAACTTGTTATGCACTTGAGAACAATTTGGAGCAATTTCAAACATATAATAATTAATCAGGGACAGAGGCAGTGCTGGATTTTTTTTTTTCCTTCTCTTATTTTTTTATATATATTTTTCTATAATATGTATATATTTTTTGAAATGTGTAAAAAAGCCCCCATTTGAAATATTCTCTTGTATACTACGTAGTATATATGTTTCCTTAAAAAAAATTGTAAATTATTTCATTATATTCTATATATGTAATTTATTAATTTACGTCTCAAAATTATCAAATAGATTCTTGCATTCTTCCTAGTCATTGTTGTTCTAGATGTTATTTTATAGATTAGTTTCATTGATTGGCTCCTACATTAAATAGAGTTATAGAAAATGGACTTCCCTTGCAATGGGTTTCGTTTAGATTTTAGGTTGCTGCTGTCAGTTGGCTTGATACTTTGACATAATTGTCTTTATTTAATTTGAATTTTAGGATTGTTGATCAGTGTCACAAAATGGCCTACCGAAAGAAAAAGAAGACAGATAGAAGACCACCACCCATGGATAGAATCAGTAATCTTCCAAGCAATTTGATAGAAAGTATACTAATGTTGTTACCGTTGAGAGATGCTGTGAGGACAAGTATTTTGTCAAGGAAATGGAGGTATAACTGGGTCAAAATCCAACAGCTTGTCTTTTGATGATACATTGATCCAAGATTCAATGAGAAACCAAAATTCACTCCAAAGCAAACTTCTCACGACTATATATCAAGTTCTATTACTTCATAACAGACCAATAGTGAAGTTCACCCTCTCTATTTCTAAACTAGAAAGCTGTTCTGAGATTGTTCCAATGATATTTTTCCTGTCAAGGAGTGGCATCCAGGAACTTACTCTTGATATTTTCAAAGGTGACAGCTAAATGTTGCCTCCACCACTTTTTTCATGTCAAGAACTGAGACAATTGAAACTCAGTTATTGTCGATTCGAGCCGCCTCCTACATTTAACGGATTTAGTAGTCTCGTAAGTCTAGACTTTTATGAAGTCGACTTGGCTGATGGTGTACTTAACAGCTTGATTTCTAGTAGCCCACTACTTGAACAGCTGACACTGGAATCCTCCATCCGTTTTGACTACCTAGAAATTGACGCTCCTAATCTCAACTTCTTAAGCACATATGCCTTCTTTGGATCCATTCATTTCAAAAACACCCCTCTTCTTGCTGCTGTTTCAATTACGTGGAATGATGAGGAACATGATAATGACGAGGAATATGTCGAGGTAGGCGAGACATCTGATATGATTAAGGTTTTTGGTTGTCCCACGGAAACGTCCTCTAAACTGCTATACAATTTCTTTCATACTAGTCAAGTACACGGTCTCAGTCTGCTATCGACGTGCTATGTACCATCAGCAGCTTTGAAGAGTACCTGTAATCGAGACACTGGAATTGGGATATCGATTTGTGAAGGTAAGGTAGCTCCATTTGCTTTTATTCATGCGTTTTGCAAATAAAATCTTGTTTTTAAGTCTGTTTTTGGCTTTTGTTTAGCTCTTGACTGTGGACGCTGTCCCTGAGAGGCTCCCATTTACCTTGGACCACCTCAAAATTCTTCAACTATATGACTTATGTTTTGGAGAAATCGCAGAGTTTTCCTTTGCTCTATGCTTAATTGATTAAAAGCTCCCCGAACTTGAAATTTTTTGAAATTAAGGTGAGCTATAACAGTTTGTTGTTTCAAATGTTCTTATATTGTGTATACGATATTTAATTGAGGTGTTTTCATCTTCTTTCTAGGTGTTCACTAGCACAGGTGATGCTAGAGGGCCTCATGTTTTAGAATTTATGGAAATGCAAGACTACTCAGATGTCTCCTTGAATCAATAGGGAAGTCAAGATGCGATTCATCTCTGGCACCAGGCCTGAGTTGGAGTTTATTAAGGTCGATTTTGACGTGTCTCGCCTAAGGCAGAAATTATCTACAAAGATGCAGACGAAAATCATGTTTAGTATATGGGTTTTTCCATTTTGATCATTATAAATAACCCTTTGAGAGGGATCACATTCAATCATATTGGTGGATTTTTTGTTTGTATTTTTTTTCAGGAGGCCTAATATGATTGGTCTGCCTTAATTAGAGCTGTAAATAGGTAGCTGATTCTTTTAAGCTGTAAATAGGTAGCTGATTCTTTTAAGGGTAATTTATATGGACTTCTTCTATGATTTGTCGTAATTATAGAAATCTCCCTTATGATTTGAAAATTTATCCGAACCTCCTCAAAAATGAAACTATCCTGCTCATTAGTCCATAACGGATTGTGCAGAATTCATGTACTAAATTAAATAAAATATCCATAATGCCCTTATCCCTACCATTATAAATATGTTATCTCACAAACCCTGCCACCGCAGCCTTGGACCTCCTTTCCCAGCCGCCAAAGCTCCATTGAAGAACAACGAACAAAAAAGCACCATTGAAGAACAACAAACAACGGCAAGTCATAAAGAACAAAATTAAAGTGGAGCACTGCTTGACAAAATTAAACCAAACCAAAGAACAAAAGAATAGCTTAAATCTGTTTCTAGAAGTGTATAAAAAAGGACTGAAACAAGACAACTGACCAGGTGAAATTGTGGCTACATTGAAGTCCAACTTTAACCCTAAAGAATCAATCAAAATCACTTGTGGCATTGATTTATTGTGCAATCTTCTGCACCCACTCAATCACCACAACGGTTTCTCCGATTTGTATAAACCCTAGCCATTAGAAGAGAAATCCTATATATATATATATATATATACAAATTCGCCTTCTTTGTCAGCCAATGCAACACCTTAAACCCGTCTTCAAAGGCCGCCGGATACCGATTCTCCGGCGCAAGCCTATACCCGATGGCAAGAACAATCACATCACCCGATTTTGTTGCTATTCGTCGACAGGAAGAAGTTGTTCGCTACCGAATCATTGCTCTCACTCACAAACCCCCTACCGTGAAATTGCAATTTTTTACAGTTGTCAATTGCCGACAAGTAGCCTCTGTAAACACCACTCTCCGACTTCAAACTCAAATCTTCATTACTACAACTATAACTATTCCTTCTATAGTTCTCCGTATGATTTGGATCGTTCGGTGCAGATCTCGTTGTAGCCTTAATCTTAGGTTTCGATTGTGACTTAAAATCTGATTCGATCGAGACTAAACACGAATCAGGAAGGAAGATTCGGATGGAGAGAGGTGAAGGCCCGAAGGGGTCAATGTGGATGTCCTCGGCGGCAACACCATCGGTGAAGGAACGGTTGACAGTCTCCGAAAACACGGTTAAAAGTTATTGATAAAATTTAAAATACTTAGATGATTACTTTTTGTTTAATTAGTATATCTATGTGTTTTAACTTGGCAAAACATTTGGAAGAAGGGGAAAATTGATTCTATTTTAAATTCAAGTTACTTGATCGGTCATATTTACTTCATTCAAGTTTCGTCATCATACACTGACTTTCCCTATTATTTGTCAAAAACACTGACCTCCCTAAACATTTGTATACTCATAACATAGATCTTCCCTCCGTTAACAGAAAACACGCTAACTAATGAAAAAAGATGATGTCAATAATTTTTAATTCACAAATTTTCATTCTACCCTTACAAAAATATGTAAATAAAATAATTAAAACGTCTAAAATACCTGTTATTATTTCTCCTCTATTCTCGTATTCTCTTCCCCTCTCTCTACATAACCCTCAAACACCATAGTAAAACTCAAAATTCAAATCCCAAAATGATTATTTTATTTGTCAATTTTCTCAAGTTTGATTCTTTTTCCTTTCCAAAAATATATATATATATTTTGTCTCTGGTTGCCAACGATGATGTTAGTGTGTTTGATGGAGACAAGTCCAAGGCACCACCATATTGACACAGCCCCAGCCCAGACACCACTGTCATCCCTCCATCGCCATCACCACCAACATACTACACTCTCAACAGAAGTGAAGTTCGCCGGTAATGGAACCACCTGAACTGGATCTCGCTGGAATTGAGGTTGGGTCTGAAGCTCGCTGAACTGAACCGAAACTCGATCACCGCTGTGACGAAGCTCGCCGGACTGGATAGAAACTCACCGAACAGCGACGGGGAATCAGAGGTGGAGCCTCAACTGTTGGCTCGTCTGTGATGATTGATTCTGTTTCCATCTTCAATTTCTCCGATCCCGGCATTTGCTTCCCGGGCCGGTGCAACTAGTCCCTTAAAAATCGACCATCAAGCCAAACCCAAGACCTAAAGTTGTTCACAGCCACCGTAGCCGGAATCGGGTCACCAACACCACCACGCCATCGCCGATAAGTTCAGTGCACCACCTGCCCGCCGAGAAGCTGTTCTCTTCAGCCATCCTTGCTCATTATCTCTCTCTATCCAGATATTTCTATCTCTAGTATATTTCAGAGAATGCAATTGATGATGCAAATGTGAAAAGGACAAAAAGAAATTTGGTGTCGACAGAATAGAAAAATCAAAGAAAATGGAAGTTGAATTCAGAAGGTTAAGACATTAAATTGAATAAATTAATTAAAAAGTTAAAGAAATAAAAAAGGGAAATATTTTAAGAACTACAGGCTAAGCAACAGCAAAGGCAAACTCTGGCGAAGCAACACCGAAGGCAAGTACTGCACCACGGCACCACCACAACCTGTAGCTTCACCACGGCGATCCTCACCCCATAACCACCGCCATCCTCTCACAAATTGAAATGGGTCTCTCTTCTTGTCCCAAAAATGGGTCTGCAAAAGGTTTGAGAAAGGAAAGAGAGTAAAGAAACACTTTGGGCCTTTTGTCTTTTCAAAATTTATTGTATTTGTAATAAAATACAATATAGATATAATAAGGGTATAAAAGTAATTTCGACAGAACTGTTAATGCCATCCATCCAAGGGCCCTGATAAGGGAGATTATTGTAATTTGAAAAATAAGGAGGAAGGTCAGTATAGGTTAACGAAACATCAGGAGAGGTTATTGTAATTATTCCTAAAAATAAAAATGTACTTATGACTTATGAGTCAAACCCAAATTCTAATGCAAACTTGATTAGTCACGAAAATAAAGCTGAACTTAATTTAGTTTCACAATTGATCTCAATATACCTATTGTTAAGCTTATCTTCAAAAGCCAAACGCAAATAACTTGATTCACCTCACAAATATAGTGCTTTGTCAAGTGGTAAAAATAACAATAAGTACCAAATCGGAGGTTTTTTTTTAGGAAGGTAATGGGAGGGGCATTTTTTGTCATTTTTTTGACCTTTTCACCGAAAATATACTCACACCCACTTGATACATGGAGACTTTAATTCTTTTTGTTTTATTCTGCACAAGTTCACTCATCTTTTAATTGGACGGTCACTTATCTTTCAATGGGGGCGGTACGAGTTTTCAGAAATCAAATCGTCCTAGGTATGAGGCGGGGTATGAGATTCTCGTTAATTATACGGGCCAGTACAAATTTAGGCACTTACCCGCCCGTTGCCATCCTATTTGTAACACCCATAACTTCAAGGAAAAAGAATACCCTCAAACAAATATAACATCATATTCAAACAGATGCAATGGCACCTTACCAAGAGAGGATTTCCAAAAACAAAATGTTCACCGCAAAAAATTAGGGATTTTATTTGGGTTTCCGTGCACTCTTGGCCTACTTTGGGCGCTCCCAACGGTTCATAATATCACTGACTATACAACTTATAACAGTGCCATCCGAATCTTTAAAAATAAAACAACATCGAGTTAAAAGAAGGATAATTTATATAGACCTCCCTTATGGTTTGTCATAATTATAAGGACCTCCCTTATCGTTTGGAAATTTAATCGGATCTCCCCTAAAATGAAACTAACGTACACGGACCTCATTTCCTAATGACAGATCGTCAAATCCACCAACGGACCTGACTAATTTACTAAAGTGCCCTTAAATTGTTATTTTAAATTACTGAAATCTCCAATGTGTGTGTGTGTCACAGGCTTAAAGTAAACTCTTCCACGACAAATAAAAGTAAAGCTACGGAATTAATTTTTTTTCAATGGTTTTTATTTTTATTTTGATAATTACTTTTTATCGTTATAGTAGGTGGTAATGGTAAAAATTAATTATAGAAACTAAAAATATGGTGAAAGTGATTTTGTATTAAAAGGAAAGACCATAGGTGGATTTGTAAAATGACCGTTAGATTTAATCTAACGGTCTATATAAAAAGTGTGGATTAAAAGATCAGGACTCTCTCTCTCTCTCTCTATATATATATATATATATATTTTTTTTTTTTCTTCCTTTGAGCATATCCAGGTTCGTAGTAAACTGCGTATTCAAGTTTTCTGTGTATTTTGCTTTTAATTCTTTTTATATTTATTCGTCTTCATCTAATATTTATTTAGGTAAGTATCCTATCAGCTGGTAACCATGTGGGTCCTGCACTTACCCAAGTTTGTCAGGTCAGTAAACTATGAATTTAAGCGAATTAATTTTTATATGATTTTTATATGAATATCTGTGGTTTTATTTCTAATTGTTTCAAACTTGGTGT